AAAAAAAAAAAAAAAAAAAAAAAAGAAAAAAACCAGCCCATCTAGGGTGAGGTGTGGTGGCTCACACCTGTAATCCCAGTACTTTGTGAGGCCAAGGCAGGTGGATCACCTGATGTCAGGAGTTTGAGACCAGTCTGGCTAACTTGGTGAAACCCTGTCTCTACAAAAAAAAAATATAAAAATCAGCCGAGCACAGTAGCATGAACCTGTAATCACAGCTACTCAGGAGGCTGAGGCAGGAGAATTGCTTGAACCCAGGAGGCAGAGGTTGCAGTCAGCCAAGATTTCATCATTGCACTCCAGCCTGGGCAACAAGAGTAAAACTCCGTCTCAAAAAAAAAAAAAAAAAAAAAAAAATCTGGATCTCTTCAAAATGCTTTGTCTTTTGATCAGTCTCCTTGTTATTTATGGTAAAATGGTTTGTCTCATTGTAGTGATAACTATCTTAGCTAAATCATAGTGTGCATCTTACAGTTTTAGAAACTTCCTCCTTCCCTAGTTGCCTCCCACTCCTCACCTATTCCCTGAAAGAAGTCAAGATGTGGGGATTGATGTATCTAATGTGCAGAAACTTTGGATGGCTTGAGTAAAAAGCAGTGTTTTCGTTGAATTGCAGAAGCTGGGTCTTGGTGGATCATCAGTATAATATCTACCTCTATAGAGAGGGTGTGCTTCGGACTGCTTCAGAACCGTATCATGTTGATAATTTCCAAGACAAAACCTGCCATTTGACCAATCACTGCATTCAAAAAGAGTACTCAAAGAACTATGGGAAGTATGAAGAAGGAAATGAAATGTTCTTCAAGGAGTTCAATCAGTACCTAACAAGTGCTTTGAACATTACCCTAGAAAGTACCATCTTACTACAAATCAAACATATAATAAGGTAACTTAATTGTATCTTTGTTTTTGAGTGGGGGTTACGTGTTTCTTCTTGAAGGAGCTTTGGGTGCCTATGACTTTCAGAGAATTGTTTGATATAAATTATCTAATTTATGGGCAAAAATTTTTTGTAATTTTTTAAAATTTTCCTTTTAATGTCTGTAGGTTCTATAATGTCTCCTCTTTCATTTCTCATCATAATGATTTATATTTTCTTTCTCTTTTGCTTGGACAGAATATCAATTTTTTTCAATCTTTTCAAAAATTAGCTTTTTGTTTTATTGGTTTTCTTTATTTTTCTTTTTGGCTTTTTTGATTTATGCACTTTATTATTTTCTTCCTTTTGGTTTTTGGAGGATATAATTTACTCTTAATTTTCTAGTGGTGGTTTTTGTTTGTTTGTTTTTTAAGAGATGGTGTCTTATTTTATTGGCCAGGTTGGAGTACAGTGGTGTGTTCATAGTTCACTGCTGCCTCAAACTTTTAGGCTTAAGGGAATCTTCCTATTTCAGCCTCCCAAGTAGCTGGAACTACAGGTGTGTACCACTGTGCCTGGCTAATCTTTTTATTTTTTGTAGAGTTGGATCTCACTGTCTTGCCCAGGCCGATCTCGAGCTCCTGGGCTCAAGCCAGTCCTCCCACCCTGGTCTCCCAGAGTGCTGGGATTCTAGGCGCGATTATAAGTGTGAGCCACCATGCCCAGCCTATTCCAGTTTTTAAGGTGGAAGATTAAATAATTGATTTGAGATATTTCTTTTTTAAAAAAAAAAATAAGCAAGTCTCAGCTTCCCTCTAAATATTGTATCGGCTGAATCCCACAGATTTTGCTATTAACATAATTTTCATTTCCATTTTATTAAAATATTTTCTAATTTCCCTTATGATTTTATCTTTAATTCATATAATTTAAAAATTTTTGTTTAATATCCAAATATTACGTCAGGAAGATACTTTGTTTGGTTTCATCTTTAAAAGTTGCCAAGGTTTGGCCGGGCGCGGTGGCTCTAGCCTGTAATCCCAGCACTGTGGGAGGCCGAGGCGGGTGGATCACGAGGTTAAGAGATCAAAACCATCCTGGTCAACATGGTGAAACCCCGTCTCTACTAAAAATACAAAACATTAGCTGGGCATGGTGG